ACGATCATGAAAGATCTAGATATTCAAAATTTAACATATATACATTTATATCTCCATGAAAAAACTGACATAGTCCCGATAAAATTATACATTAAATCTTGCCTCACAAATATCTACAAAAGTAGCAAAGGATAAAACAGTAAAAATCTTATTATTATTAATCTGCCAAACTGGATTTGTCTGCCCTGGACCAACCCTAAAAAAGAAAACGGGTTAGAGTGGAGGGGGGTGGGGGGGGGGGGGGGTGGGACTCTTTCAACAAATCTGATGAATGATCTACATTGCGATATAGCACACAGCGAGAGGCAGAAACCCTGCAATGAAGCTGATATATTGCGGGGCATCAGGCCATTTCGTAATGTAATCAAATTTAATGCACAAATCTTTAATGTCAAGTGCCTCGTTACTAATTACTTCATTGACCTGTTGCTAGGTAGGACACCAATAGTTATGACTTGTCCTAATGTTGCAATTTGCATTCTTCCTAGATCTATTGAAATACAATTATTCGTAACGGGTGAATGAAATAATTTGTAACAAGGCACTTGACAAAGATTTCTGCATTAAATTTGATTACATTTTGAAAATGGCCTTTTCGGTATTCGACAGTTTTAAGCGATATGGGTGGAAAAAATCCCACTGTCATATCCTCAGAATATGATTATTCATTCATATAATTTGTTCATTTCAACTATCATCTGCGTTAGTAGTGGTAATAAAAATATTATGTTTTGCTGATTGGCCATCTAACAATCAAACATTGTCGTCACCCCTATCATTGAATAATCGGACCGGAATTGTAATAGAATTATTAATTTTTTTGAAATTAAACGAAAGGGAAGCATGGGAAAGAAAAGGAAAAGAACAGGGAGACATGCAAGCCAATAAAACGACAGCATGTGCTGAATGTTTAATTGTTGGTTGGGAGCATGTTGAACGGAAACCATCAAGGAATAGACCCTAAGTAGATTTTGTGCATTCATTCGGTGCAATCATTTTACATTCCATGAATTATTTTCAGACCAATTTAATCTAATAATGTAATCTAATGCGGGCAACTTATATTTACAGTACCTTTTTATTAATTTTCTTCGGCATCCTTTATAGATCTAGGCTCGAGTTATCCGAAAGTCGCATGGAATCTGGAATGCCCGGCCGGAATGTCACCAACTTCCAATCACTTTTCCTACATGAACACGAAATGAAATGTGTGTAATTAAAAGATACAGAAGCACGATGAGAGATTTATGGCAAAATTCATTTTTTATGAATGAAATTGATATCATGGTATATAGGTAGCCTTTCCTACTTTTAATTACCTGCTATTAATCATGAATCGAATACTGCAGGCCATTTTCGTACAACACTTTTGCCTGGTGACCACTTTATTTTTACAGGTGTTCTTCACGAGTCAGAATGTAGATTGCACGCATTGGACCATGATTCATGTAAACTGCATTCTGACTAATAGATTGAAATAAAATCTCATTAGAGATGAATTAGTAACACTGTCGCAATAGTAATACACCTGACAAAAAGATAGTGAATTCAATTTGAATGCATTACCATGCGTATTTACGAAATATCTGATAGCTCTCACACACAGCAAAAACGAATAAATATTCCTGCGAAATGAACAAATTAATTAAATCAACCTTCTTCTCTAAATCATGACAGGGTGAATTCAAATTACACTCGTTAAATAAACATCAAAATGCTAGTTACGCGATGTTATCAATATCCAAATTCATACAACCTCAATCAATCCGACAATGACATAAAACTTAAAGCTTGACTTGACTTACGTACGTGCGTGAGGTCCGAATTGAAAATGGCGCCACAAATCATTCGTGACCTGGTTCGCGCAAGCGCAGTCGAAGGAAAAGGGAAAGAGGAGAGCTAAACGGGAACAAAAAGAGGAAGAAGAAAACAAAAGGGTGAAAAGAAGAAGAGAACAGCTGCAATTAATGCCCGCCAACAACGTGTGGATCGGGGGCCCAAAAGGCCCTTGCTCCCCCCCCCCATCAAACCTAAAACAGAGAATATGAAGGGAAGGGAAAGAAAAAGAAGAGAGAAAGGGAAAGGAAAAAAAAGAGAAAGAAGAAAGGTAGGGGGAGAGATCAGTTGCGATTTTCCCCGCCAACAAGGTGTATCGGGGGGGGGGGGGGGGGGGCTTGGGGGTACAGATGCCCCAAATATAATTCAAACGTGGTTAATTTCCATAGCGATACCGGTGATTTACAAATGTTGCCAGAAATATTTTTAATCAATCTTTAGTAAGTTATACTTTTTAATGCGTTTGTTGGAAAATGGCAAATTCCTAAGGAAAGAAAGAAAAAAAAAAAGAAAGAATAATGACCTGCCTTTGTCACAAAATTTACTCATCTGACCGTGATTAAATGCATAAAACCCCTGAACTTCCGGGGGCTGTGCCCCCTGGATTCCATCTAGGGCCCTAATGCAGGCACCTGGGAGATCCACCCCTTGACCCCCGCCGGGGCTTCGCCCCTATAGACCCCACGCCAATTTATGCTACGCTCTACCTGACAGTTAATACCACCCACCCCCACCTACTTAGAGAAACGTACCAATATTTGGCTCGCATAATTTCAAATGTGGGGCCCCCTAAGAAATCCTGGATCCCCGCCTGGCCCCTAGACCCCACTTTGAAAAACGTTCAGCGGAGTGGTGCAGATTTTGTCTGCCCCCCAAACGTTTTTGCTGTAATGTTTTCATTTCCGAGTTATGGTGTGACACAGTAATAAGGGATCTGATATATCTCAATATCCTTCCCGACATTTTCATCAATTTACACTCTGAGGGGTTCACCAACATATTAATATGATTGCAGCCAGGCGCGTACGCAGGGGCTGGGGAGGGGGGGGGGGGGTTGGGGGTTGAACCCCCCCCTTTGGTATTTTTTATTTGTGTATTTTGGAGAAATCCCCCCCTTATATCTCAATTTCCTTCCAGACATTTTCATCAATTTACACTCTGAGGGGTTCACCAACATATTAATATGATTGCAGCCAGGCGCATACGCAGGGGGGGGGGGGGGAGGGGGTTGAACCCCCCTTTGGTATTTATGTGTGTATTTTGGAGGAAACCCCCACCCCTTTGGTTTTTTGTTTTTGTTTTTGTTTTCTTTAAATTATGACAATGGCTGACCTAAAAAAAAGGTGACCTTACCCCCCCCCCCAACGAATTTTTTTCAAATTTTCAATTTTCAAGACCTCCCCCCCCAAAAAAAAAAAAAGAAGTGTCCTCTTATCCCCCCCCCCCACATGGTGCCACCATTTTCAAGTACCCCCTAATACAGAGCACAATTTTTTTTTTTTTTTTTTTTTGCTCCCGAAAATTTGAAAAACGCGCCGGCCAGCGAATTTTTTTCCGTACTCGAGAGGGCAAATACCCCATGTGCGCATGCGCGTGGACTTGTGATTTCTCTGCTACTTCCCATACGAAATGTACATGTATTCGCATCTACTGTGCACGATTCGCGTTCTACGAGTAAACGATGGCATAGTAGTCTTCAAACACAGACTCTGATTTGCCAGTTTGAATATCGTGCGTAGCAATAGTACTAGTATTCAAGTCTGAGTAGTTGTATGATTCAGACATTTTAGTGCTTACAGAAATGCATCCAAATTGAATAGCATGGTATAGTAGTCTGCAAGCACAGACGCTAATCGGACAGTTTGACAACATAGTGTCTTGAGTAGTGCTTTATATTCAAATATGTGTAGTTTTATGATTCAGACCCTACTGGTGCGTGTATTGGAAAGGCATCTCAACTTGCAGAGTGGCATAGTAGTCTGCAAGCACAGACGCTAATCTGACAGTTTGACAAAATAGTGTTATTCAAGTCTGAGTAGTTTTATGATTCAGACCCTACTGGTGCGTGTATTGGAAATGCACCTCAACTTATAGAGTGGCATAGTAGTATGCAAGCACAGACTCTCCTTTGACAGTTTGACAGAATAATATAGGCCTATTGTGTATTGAGTAGTGCTTTTATTCAAGTTTTCGTAGTTGTCTGTGTTGTGCCACTGCTCTCTCACTCTCTCTCTCTCTCTCTCTCTCTTTCTCTCTCTCTAGCTCTCCCTCCAGTATGCTCGCACTCTCTGTATTACTTTTATTTATAATCATGGTCTGCTGAGAGCCAGAAGGATGTTAACTCTTAACACAACGAATGTTGGCGACTTGAATAAAGTACTTCTCAGCACACTACTAGTATGTTGTCAAACTGTCAGATTAGCGTCTGTGCTTGCAGACTACTATACCATTCTATACAAGTTGCAATGTATTTCCATATGCACTACTGGGTCTGAATCATACAACTACACAGACTTGAATAAGCACATCGCGACACATACGCATATTGATTTGTCAAACTGGCAAATCAGAGTCTGTGTTTGAAGACTACTATGCCATCGTTTACTCGTAGAACGCGAATCGTGCACAGTACATGCGAATACATGTACATTTCGTATGGGAAGTAGCAGAGAAATCATAAGTCCACGCGCATGCGCACATGGGATTTTTGCTCTCTCGAGTACGGAAAAAAAATTCGCCGCCGGCCAAAAATTCGCTCAGTGTGGGGGGGGGGGGGGGGGGGGGTAGTGAGCACTCAAAAAAAAAATTCAATTTGCACCCCCCCCCCTTGAGCGCCAGGGGGGGGGGCCCAACCCCCCAAAAAGGTAAAAATCACGTGATTTTACATGATTTTTTTTCTCAAGGGGGGGGGGGGCCGGCCCCCCCCCCCCCCCTGGATCCGCCACTGACCAGACGGGTATTTCTGTCTAGGCAAAAGTCTACTTTTACTGAAGAACTTACATCGAATTTTAAAGAATATGAAATTCGTCGACATATAGTAATGCTTGACTCTCAGATAATATTGTAAAAATACACACATTTGTCCTTTTTATCTCTCTTCGAGGCGGAATGCTTGACTACCGGTACTTTGATTATTACCTTTTCTTTTAATTTTTTTCTCGAAGACACCATAATATCACAAAGGACAATCGTTTGACACTGAAAGTGTAAAACCTCCAGGCGAAAATCAGAAGTAAAATTAAGCAAAAATGGCCGAAGATGGGAGGATACAGAAAATGGAGGTGGACTATACAGAGACGGTTGACAAGAGAATACCGGAATGTGAGCAACTTGGAAAGGTAAACCATTATTTTGGAAGAGAATCGATAACGATTGTTGGGCGATAAAGTCTGTGCGAATTGCAAGTCACGTTGACTTTAAGTGACCCATGTACTGATAATTGTGTTTGTGGCTTGGTGTACCTTGTAAACCAGTGTTTCCCACACATATCACATAGCCACACCACGAAGAACTTGCGCATTGCGCGCTGTGCACAGAGTTTACACACTCTCATTGGCCGATCTACTCGAGTGGCTTCAAATTTAAATGAGAGAGGGCCTAGACTAGACAGCAATAACCATCTGATTTGGGTCATTTCTTTAATAAAACTGACATTTGCTGTCATTCCCCAATAGTACAGATGGCAACCCAGAGATCTCGTACCGTGCGGGTAGCTATAGCCAACAATGGCAGCTTTTTATGTCAAAACATTTTCTCCCCGATTTTCTTTATTTAGATCTAATTTTCTGATTTCTAAATCAGATGTAAATTAGTTCGGTATGTCATTTGTCCTAATTACAGTTATCAAAATTTGATAACTTAATATTAAATACGTAATTTACGGACTTACTTATATGAATTATCCAATTTGTATCTCAGATCCGCGAAGCAGTACGTTCATGCATTCAAAATATTACCCGGCGGCCGATATATTTCCGGGTCCACCTACCAAAACATAGCCAAATGGCCAATCAGAGCACTCGTTTCGTGGGAGTTCGTTGGTCAAGCTGGGCCGACTCGTACGTAGCTACGGTAGCTATTGGACGTTCGAAAAGAAAAAATGAATATTCATCAACTAAAACCAAGACGGATAATGTTGACGACGAGACTTTCTCGGATTAATCATTAACTTAGGATCTAAATGAGCAAGCTATCGTAAGTCAAATAAGCTATATATATGTTATTTTTAATTTGTGTTGTAATTGCAGCAGTTATGAGGATGTAAAGAGTGAAAATCTCGTTGCATATCTCATTCATCGCGGTCCGGTCGAACCGAACCATTTGTTCCGTACAGTGCCTCACAGAAAGAGGTCCCCAGACTTCAGTCTCTATAATCGGAGGTCTAGTGGAGCCAGACGTAGTCTCAGTGGAACAACCGACGATTAGAGAGACTGAAGTTTTCGGTCTAGCCTAGACCTACTTTTACTTAACTTAGTTCAATGGCATAATTACGTCACACCACACAGATTTTGTACAACTTGTTTTAATTCTTTGTCAAAAATAAATTTAGAGTTGAAATTTGATCTATATATATATGTGTTCTCAGTGTTTTTCTTTTCAGGAAAGAGAGAGCATTGGATTTTGCCCTTAACATTTGATACAGTCAACAAATCTTGGTAGTGGTTTCTGGCATATACTCCCATTCTGGCACTCCTTTGGTAGGGTATATGCAGCATAGCTGGATTTCGATTTATACATGCATGGGTCATCACCCTTGGTACTTTCAATGTTGGAGTGAGGATTTAATACTTGGCATTCAATATCATGACGTGATGGTAGTATGCATGTCACTTAGTTGGCGTCCTCTGCTTGAGGCAGCTTCCTGTAGTGCAGACTTGGACAGACCAAAGCTAGCCTGTAGGTACGCCTTCAAGGCTTCCAATGAAAATGTTAAATATCATGTCATTCATGTAGATCTACATAAATGTTAAAACAACAATTACAAAATCAAAACAAAAATGACAATATATTTACAAATTACATATTTAAAATAAAGGCAACATTTAATATTTAAAAATAGACAAAAAGAAACCTGTTGAAGAAAGCCAAAATTGATATTTTAGGGCAAATCAAACTCACTACAGCAACGTTGGTTGATGTACATATTATATATACTATTTGTACACGCGGCAGCCATCTTGGGAAAAATATCAAATATCAAATAACATGGTACACCCTCCTCCTCTTTTTCAAAAAATCCGGACGATCAACATGTAATCAATTTTACATGGCCTAATAGCATAACACATATCCCACACATACCATACCATGCCAGTGTCACTGAAGAACCACATTTGCAATGGAAAATATATCCTAAAATATCACATTTTAGCGATGTAATCGCCGGTCCCGCTACCCAAATCTGAAAAATTGAGTATCTTACGCGTGGCTGTAAGAAATATGGGTACCATAAAATGAGCTTTATTTCAAGTATTTTTCAGATTTAGAGCCCGATTTTGTGCTAGTCGCAAGCTCAAAAGTATCTCATCGCATGTATTAAATCAATGCAGCCGCACAACGCGACGCACACACGATATCTCTGTCTAATTCAGATTCCAACTTCTGATCACCGCTGTGCCTATCTTCGGCCAGGCGAGCACCAGGGAGCTCCGGCGTGGGATACCTGCTCCGCCCGCTTGTGCTGTACATCAGCGCGGAAACGCGTCAATAGGAAACGCACGGCGCGCGCGAGCGCTTCCTATTGACTTTGTACATGCGGCCGTAAACTGAAACGCTCGGCCCATAACCGGCTCCAAAACAGTGAAAATTGAAATGAATATTGTCATGGCAATTCGTGATTTTTTTCTGGGATTCTTTTTTTGTTTAAATAATAATAATATTTGCTTCATGATTTGAACAAGAAATGATAATAAATAGGAAGTAAAGAGTCCTAAAAATAGGATTTTGTCTTAAGTGGCCGAAAACGGGCTCCTTTACTCTACCCCACTAAAACATAACGATGGTGGTTGTGGGCGAGGGCGCGCCTGTACTGTAAAGTTATTTACCGTAAGTAATGTCTCAGATCCTCATTACAGTAGATAGCTTCACACAGGTGCGCGCCCGCCCGTAACCCACCATTGGTATGCACTTGTAATGTGCAGCGGTTTGCTGTGAAACCTGTGAAAAAGTGTATACCTAAATAAATGTTTTTCCGAAAAATGCTCTAAAAATAACAAGAAAATTGACACGAAACAGGTAATAAACATAACAAATTTTAACTCATGATCTTTATTTGGACATTTAATGAATATTTACTTCATTTTGGGTATGTTTTAGTAGGGTATCTCCATGCCAGAGTTACTGGTCAAATTTTGGATAGGTTTCTGAACAAGCGCCGAGATTTTGACATGTCATGCTTTAAACAGGTGACGCATTTGACAAATAACTGACGCACACATGGGTTTGCACACACTTAAAATAGAAAAATCAATAAAGATCACAGAATAAATTTCCAGTTTGTAGTCTACATGTACCTTAAATATGACGAAAATGAGATTTGTTCAAACTTCAAAAATAGTTGAGTAAGACTTGACCTAAAATGAAATACAAATAGAGGGTTTGACTGAAATATCATAATTTTGGTATCGAAAAAAAAAACCCCAGAAAATCGCAAGCTTGCTCGTCACACAAATATCTTATCATTGAGTGCCCGGCTGGGATTTGAACCCCCAACCTTTGGATTGAGAGTCAAGTGAATAAACCAATACCACAACACCTCCCTTCTAATATTATATAGGCTGAAAAGGGAATACTTTATTTACTCATTGCAGGATGGAAAGTTGACTGAAGCATTAGAGATCCTGCTGTCATTGGAGAAACAATCAAGAACAGCAGCTGACATGCACTCCACAGCACGCGTCCTAGTGGCTATTGTCAAACTGTGCTTTGAGGCACGTGATTGGGATGCCCTCAATGAACATATCGTTCTTCTCTCAAAGCGGAGAAGTCAGTTGAAGCAGGTAAGTGAACAATACTAATAATACTAATAATTATACACTTATATTGCACACAACTCTGCCGACATAAAGGCACTCTTGGCGCACAATCAAATGAAGGGATATCAGCCCTCCCAAGCTAGCTGCCATGTTTTGCTCTCTGTTTCCTTCAATACAGTTATCATTGAAGAAAAGTGTTGCAATAATTTTACATTGCAGTTGACCTGCAAAGAGGATGAGTTTTTGTGGAAGAAGATGCATTATGTGTTTAGAGCATCGGTACAATTTCGTTGTTTTCAAACTGTAGAAAACCAAGTTAATTTCTAAACAGTATACATCAAATGTGAAATTAATAAAGGAGTCGGTCATACATTAATTTACTACTGCATGAATATAGAGTTTACATGTTTGAAATCCATCTTCTTCCCATATGCCCAAATCATTAAGAATATAACAACACTTGAGACTGATGAGCACTATAATATTAATTTACTGTAAATGTATATTTTCTTCTTCTCCCAGATACATGTAGAGTTGAGTAGTGGTCATATAATTATATTGTAAAAGAAATTCCCTGGATTTAATTGGAAAAGGCTGATTATGTGGTACATAACAATTGATGTATACTGTGAGATTTGGAATGATTAAAAAAAGAAAAAAGAAATGACTCATTATTTCTATCCAAAAATTTTCAGCTATTTCTCGTATTTCAAATACCGGTATGAGTGTTTTGAAAGGCAGTCCTTTTTGGGGGAAATCTCTACAATGAAATTCTTCCAAACTGACATAAAGAGAAAGAGGAACCTCCCAGATTAACTTTCATTTTTACATGAACTTGATTTTCTTGTGAAGTAAAATCTAAATAATGTTTTTTGGTTGCCCATTCCGACACCTTTCCCAGGCTGTGGTTAAAATGGTCCAGGAATCGTGCACCTATGTAGAACAGACCCCAGACATGGAGACGAAGCTGAAGCTCATCGATACACTAAGAACAGTCACAGCAGGAAAGGTAGGCTCATGAAGAAAACTTATACAGTGCGTCCCAGAAAAAACGAAATCGAGAATTATCGATGTTTTATCATAACTTAATCACAATTACAATTAATAAATGACACATATTTATAAAGCTTAGGTCCTCCTCTTTCAGTTGATGCAACTCATATTATGCATATTTCATGCATTAGTGATTAAAAACAATTTGAAGAGAGTGTACCAAAAAGTCATTTAGCTGGCGGTATCAGAATTTTAAAGAGAAATTGTCATTTCTGGAGAGTTATTTTTCTGCCCTTTCATATGACACCTCAATCAGGAAAGATAAGCCAGGAATAACAAAGTTCTGTTTGTTTAAAGTAATGCTTGCATTTCCATAATTTAGCAACAAACAGAGTTGACAAAAGACTTAACCCATTTAAAGCAACTAGAGATTTTGTTAAAATGGCCTATTACTCACTGGAAGATGTTGCAGTATTGCTGTCATTTTGACAAATTTTCTGAACAATATGAATTTGAAACATGCGTTATTTTTCTATGCAGAATCCTGCTGTAGACATTGTAAGGATTACACAAGTATAACATTATAACGGTAGCCATGGACAATTATCCCATTTGTCATGTACCAAAATATCATAAATTTCTCTCTTTATCATTAGCGCCTTGGGGCACGTCTTAAAATATATTAAGGACAGCATTTCCTGAATGTTTTTCTAAATTTTTTTCTTGCAGATTTACGTGGAGATCGAACGTGCTCGTCTGACGATGACCCTTGCCAAGATCAAAGAGGGACAGGGTGAGATCACGGAGGCTGCGGACATCCTGCAAGATCTACAGGTATGAGAAACAAGTGAGATGGAATACAAGATTGCATCAGCTGTCTCTGTCTCTGTTTTTCTTTCTTTCTCTCTCCTCTTCTCCCCTCCCTTCTCAGCTAAGCACTTTTATGCCCACCCCCCCTCCCCCCACTCAGTGTTATTTAAGGTACACATATGCTTGTTCCCTCTCTTTGAAAGCACCCCCTATCTCCGGTGTGAAAGTCAATACAGGCCGCACATTGTCGCAAGAAAAAGTACCCCTTTACCAGAGATTTTGGGAACACGCATGCGGTCCGTCCGACCCCGGAGTGGGGAGGGCGGGCTTTTAATGTTTGTACAAATATTTTGTCCATTCTTCATCCTTTTCTAGTCACAAACTGATCAATCTTTCTGATTTTCTTCTGACCATCTTTCTCTGCTTATATGATACCATGTTTTGTTCATGTTTACATTGCATGGAACATCAATGGAAGGCAAATTTCTGTCAAAATTGAATCTTGGTCTTTATTTTGACTCTGTCTCTCTTGGATCCACATGGAAAACCGTTAGTTCTAGGGAGAAGAACAAAAAGGTGGAGTTCATATTTTGAGAAGAATATTCTTTCAACCCTCCCCCTATCATATCATAACATCATCAGCATTTCTGTTTGCTTGATCATCCCTCTTTCTGTCTGTCTGTCTGTCTATCTATCTGTCTACTTTTCTTTCACTCTCTATCTCTCTCTCTCTCCCTCTCTCTCTTTCCCTCTCTCTCTTTCCCTCTCTCTCTCTCTTTCTCTCTCTCTCTCTCGCTCTCTCTCTCTCATCCTTCGCCTAAACACAACCTGATCCATCTTTCTGATTAGACTTCTCCCTGCTTCTTCCGGCTCTAGGTGGAGACCTTTGGCTCCATGGAGAAGAAGGAAAAGGTGGAGTTCATTCTGGATCAGATGCGCCTCTGTCTGGCCAAGAAGGACTACATCCGCACCCAGATTATCAGCAAGAAAGTCAGCTCAAAATTCTTTGATTCTACCGACGAAGAAGTCCAGGTAATGCTATTGAACCCTCACAGTGCATATAAACACTTCATGTATACATTTCATTTCAGTTTCTGATGCATGAATTTCAGGCCTTAAATTAATCGACGGCCATCGACGGCCAGGCCGTTGATGCCCCTATGACTGGCCGCGGTGCCCTCCCCAAAAAAGATATATTCACGGCCAAAAATGCCGTGCCCTTTTTTTCAAACTGGCCGACGTGCCTTTTTTTCCAACTGGACGTGCCCTTTTTATTTTAAATTTGCGCACATAAAACCACCAATTGCGCCCATAATCATCTAAAACTAGACGGCAAGGCGCAAGTGTTTTCCGTGAAAATGCGCCCATAAATTATTAGAACAGTAAAAATACACGAATCACGAACAGTTTGCCGCCCACGAGCTCTCTTCTAGCTTCGTATTTAGTGCTTTAATAAGGCGCAAGTAAGTGCCGTGAAAATGCGCCCTTTGTTATTATATAGGCAATGCGCTAGCGCACGTACGTACGTACGTTCATATTATGCGATCGCATGATATGCATATGGTGCATGCTGTTGACGCACGCACGTACGTACAAATCGAAGGCCAGGATCAAGAAAACAAATCGTCAAATGGAGAAATAAACAAGCATTCAAATAGTCATTAGAGATCTGTCGAGGTTTGTTTGTAGGCCTAGTTTATTATTTTATCTCAAATAGAATTTAGAATTATCTTATTAATAAGTTAAGAACACCTACGATGTTCTCGATCGTAGTTACTCTCATTTTGCCACCAGCCGACCTCGCTTCAAAAAGCTACCCCGCCAGCTTCCCAAGACGAACGTTTCGAGTCCCGGTAAAATTCCGAGGGTGCATCGGTTTCGCTGGCAAACTTCCAGCCCGACAGCTTCCCACCAAAAGTGGCGAGAGTGTGTGTGCGAGGAACGATTTTGGTTTCGTGAATGCACGTTACGCAACTGAGCTGAGCGTGTCACTTTCAGCTGTCGAATGTCTATAAGGACATTTTTACATCTTATTTCATTAGTTAGGCCTATGTAGACCTTTCTATACAACAGTTAAAAAGATAATTTCTTCAAATTTGCTCCTACTACCGAGAGAGTGGCGGAAGGTTTGTGTGTGAGGTGCGATTTTGATTTGGAATACCCGGCCCGGTAAACTTGCCAATTAAGTCCTTCTGACTTTCGATGTTTGTGAAATTGACAATTTATTTATTCATTTGCTCATCAATATTTTTAGTTACTTTAAAATACTGTTTAATGTGCAAGTTTGATGTTCTTAATCAATCTTTCCTGTTCATATTGTTAAGATTAAAAAGTTATTAAATTGATCGTTCGATCTATTCACATTATGAAATTAACATTTGTAGACTCTCTTTGAACTTATTAGATAAGCGGCCTATCTGTTTTTGGAAAATTGCCCCTTGCTCTCGTAAATTCCCGTGGCAAAGGGCAACTTAAAAAAAAAATTGCCCCTTGCTCCTGGCTGCTAAATCTAAGGCTTGCGGGCCGCTGCCTTGTTTGCAGGCGCGTAGCCAGAGTTTGGTGTTTGGGGGGCACATACATGTAATCGATCGAGGTAAAAAAAAGGGGTCTACAAAATTTCAACCGATCCTGGAAATTTTAGGGGGGGCACGTGCCCCCCCCCCCTGTGGCTACGCGCCTGCTTGTTTGTATGTACCGTAGACCTCTATACATTCTGTGAAGAAGCTGGTGCTAAAAGTCATGGGAAATTGATCCTGCACAAGTTTCATAAAATACACATGACATCTAACAAAAATAGAATCAATTTTTTTGGCCTCATACTCGATGCCCTTTTTGTAAAATATTTTGGCCTCGATGCCCTTTTTGTAAAAATATTTTGGCCTTGGTGCCCTTAAAAATATGAGGTACTCGAGGCCAAACTGGCCTTGCCCTAAAAATGACGAAATTTAAGGCCTGGAATTTTATGGTCGAATGATGACGCTCATCTGAGTTTTTCTGTTAGCCCTGTTAGTCCAAGTTTCCCTTCTGCAGAATAGATTTGATGATTATTTTGTTTATTAATTCATATTTTGACGCAACAACTCGATGAGCAAAACTATTTCATATTATGGTCCATGAATCATAACATCAAACAGTATTAAAAACAAGAAAAACATGTTTCTCTCCTGTTTACGTGAATAGTTTCTTCCGAGTTAATCATACATATATACGTAGTAGACAGAGTTGTTTTGGTTCGTAAACCAGACCCCCCCCCCCTCTTAAGACGACCGGAGTCCAGACTAAATTCCTCTCGTCCAATATACTAGTTTCTACATGTGGGATACCAGTATAGAATTTGCGTTGCCTTTGTTCATACCTATTACCTGATTTACACAGGTCTGACAGGTTGCTTGAATTTCACTTTAATACTAGGGGAAAATCACAGTTAATTCTCCAATAAATGATATTAGTATTCTCTCATCTAAGACTATCTATCGTTGTATACTGCATTTAAAAGTCTGTTATGCTTTTAAAATAGGTCATTTCTCCAAGTGTTTTCCTTCTCAAACATGTGTGGTCACACATGCACACATGGGGAGTGTTGCACAAAAACTAAGATCGGTTTTAAGTTGGACTTACATGTAACTATGGCAGGCCGTTCATGTCACTGCGCTCTCACCAGTTACTGGCATTGGTTTCTCAAGGGACGTACAAATCATGGTCACAAATCTTCAGAATTTGTGATCACACATTTACTCTTGAGATTGTAGTCAAGAATGCGATTGTGAACATGACAGTTTGATATGGAAGACACTCAGAAAATTCACTATTTTGGAAACAAATCAGAATTGAAATCAGGGAAAACATTGAATTATTGCATTTCTTTCAACACTGTGCTTTTGAAGTTTTAATGGACATATTGTTAGTCTTATAGAGTGCTACGTATATGTTCTTGGCATGCTCATTTGATCACAAGAACAAATAAATTATTGTCCTTTTTTTTTCACGACTGTGCATGTGTGTTTTCCATTATTGTTTCAACCCACTACCAACGTGATTGTCTACATTATTGCATTTCTTTGTTAATTGAAAAATTTCAGCTCATAATCTCTGTGTTTGATGTCTTTTCGCAACAAATCAACCCCTATACAGTAGGCTTGCGGATGCACCATGTGAGAGAGAGGGAGGATTGAGGAGTCCTGAAAAGGACTCTCGGTAATCTTTCTTGATACTTACAAGCAGCATCTAAAATCTACCCCTATTTCACATTCTCCCATCGCACCCTTTTTGCATTCACACTGCAGGAACAAAAATTGAAGTTTTACAAGTTGATGATTGAGCTTGACCAGCATGAGGGGGCATATCTGGACATCTGCAAGCACTACAGGGCTGTCTATGACACGCCCCTCATCCAGAAGGAAGATGCACGATGGAAGGAGGTAAATAGAACATGGAGTAAAGGATTTAAAGGCATCGTTTAACAATATTAAATCTGAGACGCACGGCCCTACGTGTTATCAGTGTCTGTAATATGGTATAATATTGAAGCCCTTAAAAAAAAATTGCGCTTCAAAATGATCAAAAAGTTCCTCAAAAAAGTTAAAATCTTTGAGTGACCGGTTTTACCATACTCGTTTTCCCCAATAGACTGTAGTGTTGTGAAAACCGTTTGGCAAACACAAAATTGGTTTCGATTTCCAATCATAAATATCTTGATAATCAGACAGGCGATCGGCTTGTAAAAGTCATGGGATTCCTGACTGACCTAAAGGTTTATAATTAACATTGCAGCATGAGCTAAACCCAGGATTTTGTTTCAAAATCTGAGACAAAGTTACCAGATCCATTTAAGGATTCAATTGATTTTATTTATTGTAATGTCCAAGTTGCATGGCATAAAAGGCATTTTTAGGTCATCACATTTTTATATCATCTTAAAACATAATTCAGCAACAGATAGTTTGAGGAAGAACATTTATATCGGAGTGGATGTATGGTATGTTTGTAGCCACATAAAGTAGTCACACATGGTTAATGTCTGACAACCTGAGGTGGCATTGTCAGAAAAAAAAATTCTCCAAAATTTGTGGATGGCTGCTACCTGTGGTTCATTATGATTTTGAAGAGATGGGAAATGATAAGGAATTAAAAGTTGGTAAAAATGTACGTAATTTAAAATTTCATATTCCGCTTTTTTTCCACAGGAGACCATAATCATGTTGAAAGGATCATTAATAACAGAGCAGGCAGTACATTTTGCAATTAGTTAGGCACATTGACATTACATACATGTAGAGGTGTTGTGGTCTAGTGGATAAGTCGTCGGACTGTGGATCACAGGGTCCGCGGTTTGAGGCTCGCCGCAGCACTAATGTCCTTTGGCGAGACATCAATCTACATTTGCCACTCTCAACCCAGGTGTTAAGTGGGTACGGGTAGGAAGGAATTCCTTGAATGCTGTGAGCGCCGACATCGGTAGCCTAGCAGAGCCGGGGTAATATTGGAGCACTTTGAGCACCTTGCAGGGTGGATACATTCGCTATATTATTATTATTATTTTATAAATGTGACTTTGACATGGCATACTTATTCTCCTTTTGTAGGGTTTGAAGAATGCTGTTCTGTACCTGATTCTGGCTCCCTTTGACAACGAGCAGTCAGATCTTATTCACAGGGTCAGTCTGGAGAAGAAGCTGGAGGACATTCCAAAATACAGGTGGGTTTATAGGGCAGTATGTGTGTGACAAACATGATGGGTGGTATTCCCGAAGGCGGAATAAATTTAGTCCATGGTTTAAAAAGTATAACAATTTAAATCACACAGTATACAAGTTTATATCGAAGTAAGTGAGCTGAATGTCTTTCATAAATGTTTTAGCTTAGATTGCGAATGACATAGGGTGGTATTCTCGAGAAGCGGACTAACTTTAGTCCATGGTTTAATCCTCCAACTAAGTATGGAATGCAAAGTGTCCATATGAATATATTTTTTAATAATTTGATATGTCCCTAAATTACCATGATAAGATAATTATTTCATAGTTATATTGTTGGAATTAACTATGTTATTAAAAAATGTTTCTTTAGTGAAAACATTCTTTTTAAAATTTAGTGACAGATTACATGTATTCAAAAACATATTCATAAGGACACTTCACATTCCATACTTACATGTAGTCGGAGGATTCAACCATGGACTAAAGTTAGTCCGCATTCAAGAATACCACCCTATGCCATTCGCAATCTAAGCTAAAACATTCATGAAAAACATTCAGCTCACTTACTTCGATATAAACATGTATTTTTGATTCAAATGGTTTTCCTTTGTGTTGTTATTTTGTTGTTGTCTAAACAAAAATTAAAACAGTGTATGTATTGAGTTTTTAGTTTTCTTGAGTTCTGGTTAATTCGGAAGATAGGTTGTGAGCTTTTTTTGAAATGTCAGTTTTGAAGAATATTACAGTATTGCCCCCAGAAAAGGATTTCTCTTCAAATGCTCTCATATTAGAAATATGATGAGGTATACATGAAGCTGAAGTGTTTGGACCACAATTTTATGCCACATGTATGGGTAGTCCCATAAACACATCTTTGAGCAGTGCATGTGCTCTTGAACAAGCACTTGCAAGTTATCCTTAATTGTGTTTCCACTGTTCCCCTTCATGTAGGGACCTATTGAAATGCTTCACTACCCCCGAGCTGATGAGATGGCAGCAAGTCTGTGCAATCTATGAGACCGAGTTGAAGAAGGGCTCCACTGGAAGTCCCCCGACAGATGTCTTCGCTGAGACGGAGCAGGGAACACTTAGATGGAAAGACCTCAGGAACAGGGTTGTGGAACATGTAAGCGATTTGTTGTTTTTGTTTTAGGAGGAGGGGGTTGTCAACCAAGTAAGGTCTTTCTCCCTCTCTCCCTTCTTAAAATATTCAGTCATAAATTCAATTATATTATCATGCAATATCTGATAGTGTCTTTTCATCTCCTGTGGGTTCCTGTACCAAGGGAAAAGCAGTTCCCCTCTCCCCCTCTCTTTTCTTGCCCTCTTTCTGTCTGTCTTGCATTTTCTATTTCTCATTGTATCATGCTCTCTTTTCTAGCCCTCTCTTTCTTTCTTTCTTTCTTTCTTTCTTTCCCTTTCTCTTTCCCATCTTCAGTACTTCAGGCACAATCATCCTTTCACCATTTTGTATTTCTCAGTCACTCTCAGTGTCCTTTCCTTAATGTGATGAACTTTGAATTAAGTATGTATTATCCCCTTAGAAATTTGTTTTACACCTGTATGAATCTACAAATAATAAATTTACAAAATAGAAATAATCACAAGGACTTGCTCAAAAAGGTTACAATGTACGAGAATGATGACAATTTTAATGGGTTTGACGAAATGGTAACTAACCTCAGTAAAAGTGGATGACTGAGGGGCTGCAGGGGCAGTATTCAATTGATTCACTTAACCATTATTTTTGTTACCCCAGAATATCCGTGTAATGGCCAAGTACTACACCCGGATCACTACTGCCAGGATGGGAGAACTCTTGGAACTCTCGGGAGATGTAAGTATCACGACGGAGGAAAATACACCCTTTCACGGTTAAGGCTGCCATTTTGATTTGCAAGTAAACATTGCGTCATCAATGTTTTCAGATGCGCATGTATTGTTGCGTCACTGCCTGCGCTGTGCGCTCACATGATATTGACATGGGCGCTATTTTAAATTCATAATTTGATGTCAGAGCATGCGCACCCTGGTAACCGTGAAATGGTGTATTGTCTGTTCAGAGCCAGAAGGGTGTTAATCCATATGTTGAAGGATGTGAGGGAGAAGTAGGAAGAGGAGGAGAAAGAAGAAATAAGAAGAGGAAGACGAAGGAGGAGGAGAAGGAGGAGGAGGAGGATGAGGAGGAGGAGGAGTGGTTTTGAGAAAGCTGATGTGACATCACATCTGATGGAGATGATATAAGACACAAAGAGAAATAACAAATGGCAGGAAAATGTACAGACAAATTAAATCACCAAGACATAATAAATGCCATGATAAATGACATTATACATGTACTTGGCAATTACGTGGAAATCAGTTTTGTTTTACTCTCCAAATCAATGTTTGCTTGTATCCTATGATTTCTTCCCTGCTAGGAGGCTGAAGCATTCCTTTCTAAGCTGGTCGAGAAGAAGACCATCTATGCCAAGGTGGACCGGCTAGCTGGCATCGTCGACTTCATGCCTCACAAGGATCCCAATGACATCCTCAACTCGTGGTCCAACAACCTCAATGACCTCATGCACCTTGTCAACAAGACTACCCATCTCATCAACAAGGAAGAGATGCAGCACCAGTTTGCTCACTGATCCCCCGTAGCAGTTCTAAGAAAACAAAGAATCTTCAAGCCCCCCCCCCCCCCTCTTGCAGGAGGACTTGAATTTTTTTCGCGAGATACATGTATAAAATGAATGCAAGAACCTCCAAGCCCCTCCCCCCCCCCCAAAACTAAATAAAGCCCTTCGCACAATTATTTGAACTGTAACTTTCTGGCAAGTAAAGGCTTCTCTAATGTATGAAAGGAATTTTCACTCTGAAGAGTGGGTGGAAATCCTCTTTGTCTCACCCAGCAAATGCGGAGGTGAGACAAAGGGATCCAAATGGCATCTGTCTAATGTCCGTCACAAGGTACTCTTTTGATGAATAACTTGGCAACCATTGATCCTCTTGTGACCAAACCTTCACTTTATGGTGCTGACGAGGGATGTATGCTGATGTCAAAGGTCATATGAGTTCCTATGTTAAATTTTACCTGCACTACACCCTTGTGACAAATAACTTGGCAAATGTTGATCCTATTATGACCAAACTTTGGTAGGAGATACACTTGGGGGGGGGGGGGGGGGGGGACCGTATGTTGTTATGCACTCACAGGTCATGTGCTAAGGTCAAAGTTTATTTATTTATTACTTTGCATACATGCTCCGAGTTCACCCAAACTAGGGTCAGGGATGCTCTTCAATGATATTCATGTCATTTGGTTACTGGAGGACAAGAATGTTGCTATTGCCATGTTTGTGGATGAATTACACCCAAAAATTATTTCTGTTTTCTCTATTATTTTGTTTTTAAAGATGCGATGATATCTGTATCGTTTCATTGTTTGATTCAAGAGGGAGGCGTGATAACTTAACAATCATTTGAATCGTGAATAACCAAGATATGAAGATGGGAAATTAAACTTGTACGCATGTCAACAAGTTTTTTCAATGTGAAGTTGCAAAATCTGTGTCAATTTTGCAGTCACCATGCATCCCAAATGAGAAGAAAGCATGCAAATGAATGTGTTTAGGCATATTGTATAGAGTCTCTGAATTTGTGTGTTTAGAGAATGGCCAAGAAAATTTATGTCCCATATTTAACACATGTAAAACATGATGAACATATGTATTAAATAGAATTGGAAGTAGTTCGATCCTTGATGTTTAGGCATTTTCGTGCCCAATTTGGGCAATCAAGTTAATACAATCATCACGCAAACAAAAGACTGTGTTCTAATGTCTTATGTATGGTATATTGTGTTACACTTGCCCTACATGTATATTATTCTTGTGGATATCTTAGGTATGTGCCCAATTGGAGCGTGTATACCTTGCAAACATTGTTTGCATCAATAAATAACATTAGTTCTTAAATAGATGATGAATAAATGTATTCTGTACATATGAACGATAATGACCTGTCAAATTCATTGTCTCTTAATTTCTCATTTTTAAAGAAGAAAAAAACAGCTGTTAAAAATTTGGTGCTCGCTGTGAATGAGGACGTATACGATACGAATGAATGACACTAAATATAAAGTTGCTGATGTTGATAATAATGATGAAGATGGTGGTGGTGTAATGATGACGATGGTGATTATGAGGAAGATGGTGGTGGTGTGATGATAAGAATGGTGATTATGAGGAAAATGGTGGTGATGATGAAAATGGTGATTATGAGGAAGATGGTGGTGTGATGGTGATTAGGAGGAAGATGGTGGTGATGATGACGATGGTGATTAGGAGGAAGATGGTGGTATTGATGATGAGGAAGATGGTGGCGGTGATGATGATGATGATGAGGAAGATGGTGGTGGTGATGATTACGATGGTGATTATGAGGAAGATGGTGGTGGTGATGATGAAAATGGTGGTGGTGATGATGATGATTACGATGGTGGTGGTGATGATGACGATGGTGATTATGAGAAAGATGGTGGTGTGATGATGAGGATGGTGATTATGAGGAAGATGGTGGTGTGATGGTGAGGATGGTGATTATGAGGAAGATGGTGGTGATGATGACGATAGGGATTATGGGGAAGATGGTGGTGTGATGATGATGAGGAAGATGATGGTGGTGTGATGATGAGGATGGTGATTATGAGGAAGATGGTGATGTGATGATGAGGATGGTGATTATGAGGAAGATGGTGGTGGTGATGACGATGGTGATTATGAGGAAGATGATGAAGATGGTGGTGGTGATGATGATGAGGAAGATCTATGGTGGTGGTGATGATTACGATGGTGATTATGAGGAAGATGATGGTGATGTGGATGATGAGGAAGATGGTGGTGGTGATGATGAAAATGGTGGTGGTGATGATGATGATGATTACGATGGTGGTGGTGATGATGACGATGGTGATTATGAGAAAGATGGTGGTGTGATGATGAGAATGGTGATTATGAGGAAGATGGTGGTGATGATGACGATAGTGATTATGAGGAAGATGGTGATGTGATGATGATGAGGAAGGTCGATGGTGGTGGTGATGATGAGGATGGTTATTATGAAGAAGATGGTGGTGATGATGACGATGGTGATTATGAGGAAGATGGTGGTGTGATGATGACGATGGTGATTATGAGGAAGATGGTGGTGATGATGACGATGGTGATTATGAGGAAGATGGTGGTGATGATGAGGATGGTGATTATGAGGAAGATGGTGGTGTGATGATGACGATGGTGATTATGAGGAAGATGGTGGTGATGATGAGGATGGTGATTATGAGGAAGATGGTGGTGTGATGATGACGATGGTGATTATGAGGAAGATGGTGGTGTGATGATGAGAATGGTGATTATGAGGAAGATGGTGGTGTGATGATGAGAATGGTGATTATGAGGAAGATGGTGGTGTGATGATGACGATGGTGATTATGAGGAAGATGGTGGTGTGATGATGACGATGGTGATTATGAGGAAGATGGTGGTGATGATGATGAGGAAGATGGTGGTGGTGATCATGATTACGATGGTGATTATGAGGAAGATGGTGGTGATGTCGATGATGAGGAAGATGGTGTGGTGATGATTACGATGGTGGTGGTGCATGATGATGATGATTACGATGGTGGTGGTGCATGATGATGATGATTACGATGGTGGTGGTGATGATTACGATGGTGGTGATGATGATTACGATGGTGGTGGTGATGATGATGAGGAAGATGGTGGTAGTGATGATGACGATGGTGATGATGAGAAAGATATAGATAATAAGGGTGATAGACAGTCGTTGAAAGCACAAGTGAAATGAGCATTGACTGAGTGCAATGAAATTATCTTTTTTAATCAGAAATTTTTCTATTTTTTCGTGAATTAAGAATTGTAAAAAGAATCACAGCGGCAAATTATGTTTTGCATTCCTAATCCATCATTGTATATGCTATGTATATAGGGAGCAGAGGAGGTGCTCCTGGGGTGGGGCCAGTTTTTGAAGTAACCCCAACGTACCCCCTTTTTACATAGCAAAAGTGCCCCTTTTAACTTCAGATAAGTGCCCATTTCTCACAGGTGCCCATTCCACATTCTTATAAATACCCTTATCACCTCCGATGTGTGCCTCCTTTACGTCTGATATGCAAATGTGATAGGTGGTCGTTTAACTTTGACAAATGCCCCTTCCCCTTCTGATAAGTTCACCTTTTCAAAGAGAGAACAAATATTGCAATCATCCCTGATAATGTAATCACAATGTAGGGGTATATTCCAATGTGGTATATTTTCCCTTTTGAAGTGCCCCTTTTTCCCCAAAACTGCCCTCTTTTTGGTTGGAGCCCCCCCCTAAATTAGGAAGCCCTTCGATGCCAATAGGGTTTAAACGGCGAATAACTCTATGCTCTAATAGTCTGTTGTATGTAGCTACATCGGTCATCACCAAAATAGATGTTCATATTTTTGTTACTATTTTTTTGTTGAATCATATTTTATGTATAGTCTAGTACCTTTATATATAGCTCGACAATTTTCATTACGTTTGTTTTGTTTATTTTTGTTTTGTCTGTTTGTAAATTTGGTCGTTTAAATGACAATTCAACTATTTTCAGGACTTCTTTTCAATAATTGATTTGAATTTGAAATTATACACCCTCATCAAAATTCGATATTTTGAAGAAAAAAATATACACAAACAAATCCCTACAAGATTACACAGAGAACCATTGGCCAAGAAATGACATATTTTTAGGGACCTATACAACAGAAATGAGCCAGGATACTTTATTCTTCATTTGGTTACTAATCCGTGTTTTTTTTCTGCATTTATTCAAATTAATTCGATGTTATGCTGATCTACACCTTTACAAGTGGGTATTTCCACATCTCCCGCACATGGATAAAGAGCGCATGCGCCTGAAAACATTAAAGACCTTTTTCGTATGACATGGATATCTCGAGGAATCATGTATTATATCAAATCATCGTCATCAGACCTTGATAAGTACAAAAAGTACAGAACTATGACTGATCACTATACTCTTTTTGTTAAGGCAAAAAGGAAATACTCGGGAAATAGTATTGCTTTTTGGCATGTTGCTACATAATTGTACAAAGGACACAAATAAAACATGGGTACAGATTAACAGTGAATTGAAAGCTTGCGAAGATATGACAACTTGTGTTGGGATCTATAAAAATAAATGATCTAGTATATTTTATTCTACACAAATGTTCTCTTTACATTCTCTTAATTCAGTTAATAATCCGTGTTTCTCTCCTGCATTTTTTCAAATTAATCCGATGTTATGCTCATCTACACCTTTAAAAGTGGGTATTTCCACATCTCTCGTACACTAGCTGGATAAAGAGCGCATGCCCCACAGAGAACATGGATATTATAGACCTTTTTGTTGTTGTTGCCCGCTTCCATAGACTGAGTGACATCGTACGACATGGATATCTTGAGGAATCATAAAAATCTATTCGACGAATAGATTTTTATGACACGTCAGACGTGTCAAACATACAATGTATTCAAAAGTTATAAATCAAATCATTGTCAGGAACTTGTTGATAAGTGCAACAAGTGCAGAAGTGTACTGACCACTATACTAAAAGTGCGCAAAGGAATCACTAGTAATACGAAGGACACATATAAAACATTGACCATTAACAATGAATTGGAAGCTGGCCAAGATAGTTATGACTAATTTTGTAGGGATCTATAAAATAAATGATCTATAGTACACTTTATTCTTCATGAATCTTTTCTCTAAATTCTCTTCATTTGGTTACTAATCCGTGATTTTTTCTTTTGCATTTATTCAAGTTAATTCGATGTTATGCTGATCTACACCTTTAAAAGTGGGTATTTCCACATCTCCCGCACATGGATAAAGAGCGCATGCGCCACAGAGAACATGGATATTATAGACCTTTTTGTTGTTGTTGCCCGCTTCCATAGACTGAGTGACATCGTATGATCTCGAGGAATCATAAAAATCTATTCGTGTCAAACATACAATGTATTCAAAAGTTATAAATCAAATCATTGTCAGGAACTTGTTGATAAGTGCAACAAGTGCAGAAGTGTACTGACCACTACACTAAAAGTGCGCAAAGGAATCACTAGTAATACGAAGGACACATATCGTCCCTATTTTCACAAAGTGACGGTAGTGAGGAAAATCGTAACGCAAAGTGAATGCAATATTTTTTCACTACCGTCACTTCGTGAAAACAGCGACGATATAAAACATTGACCATTAACAATGAATTGGAAGCTGGCCAAGATAGTTATGACTAATTTTGTAGGGATCTATAAAATAAATGATCTATAGTACACTTTATTCTTCATGAATCTTTTCTCTAAATTCTCTTCATTTGGTTACTAATCCGTGATTTTTTCTTTTGCATTTGTTGAAATTAATTCGATGTTATGCTGATCTACACCTTTAAAAGTGGGTATTTCCACATCTCCCGCACATGGATAAAGAGCGCATGCGCCTGAAAACATTAAAGACCTTTTTCGTATGACATGGATATCTCGAGGAATCATGTATTATATCAAATCATCGTCATCAGACCTTGATAAGTACAAAAAGTACAGAACTATGACTGATCACTATACTCTTTTTGTTAAGGCAAAAAGGAAATACTCGGGAAATACTATTGCTTTTTGGCATTTTGCTACATAATTGTACAAAGGACACAAATAAAACATGGGTACAGATTAACAGTGAATTGAAAGCTTGCGAAGATATGACAACTTGTGTTGGGATCTATAAAATAAATGATCTAGTATATTTTATTCTACACAAATGTTTTCTTTAAATTCTCTTAATTCAGTTACTAATCCGTGTTTCTCTCCTGCATTTGTTCAAATTAATCCGACGTTATGCTCATCTACACCTTTAAAAGTGGGTATTCCCACATCTCTCGTACACTAGCTGGATAAAGAGCGCA